CTACTTGAAAATCGCGTGCATGACCAAGTCTGCACGTGCATAAAGTAGTTTGAGTGAGGATTCTATCAATCTCTACAGAGCCTTACTGTTTCTCCTCATCAGTGCTGTTCATATTACACATTGAGGGTCACTGTAACCCTACTTTCTTGTATTTCGTTGTCATCGTCCGAAAACGTCTGGCGATTTTAGCTGTTACTGATGACGCACGTCTTCGCGGCCGTTTCATGTCTTTTTCTCGTTCTCCATGTCCTCGAAATTAGATTTGTATGGACCTCGGATTAAAACTCGATATGTTCCAGGACACGGACAGCTGTTTCACGAAATTGCGAAACGCGCGTGGATTTTCGAGGAATGCGAAGGTGTGTTCCAAGTCATTTGTATCACCATAATTCTCTTAAACATTGAAGTCGGATTCCCACCAGACAGTTTTTTGTTGAGGTTTTTGTATTCACGAAGAACTCCGGAATTTCTCAGAAGTTCCGTTAAAGGGTTGACTTATACATGGGATCCTTTATGCCAGACTCCGCGCCTACGTCCTCCTCGGCTATTTCTCACAAAATGGCACTATTGCATTTTCAATACGTCCGATGCACCCCATTTTTTGTTACATTTTCTGGAAAAGTCCTTCAACGTCCTTTGTCGAATCCGAACAATTCTTTCAGGAACAGAGAATTGAATGCCGACATTTTGTTTTTATCAAGGGCGTAGGCACTGCACTTACGGTAATACTCAACAGAAAGCTTAGCGCTTGATAGTGCCGCCTGTACATAGAATTTCTGAATCCAGCAGTGTAGCGGCTCCTACACTTGGGTCTGCTTACTTTCTGTCCCTGGTAGGGAGACTTTCGCATGGATTTTGCAGTTGTTCGAATTTTTCAGCGGTAAACCACTTTGGCAATATGTTTGCGATATGTATACTCGAGATCCGTAAGTTGGGGTAGGCGTGTCACCGGAAGTGACGTGTACTTGATAGAACCTTTGTGGATAAGGTGCTTCCAATGTATCTCACGAGATATCAGCAAAGCATGCTGGCAGCGACTCACCTACGCAACCTCTATCAAGTCCACGTCACTTCCGGTGACACGCCTACCCCAACTTACGGATCTCGACTGTATGCATTTTTCGGCAGCCGTACACGTTTTTTTTTGCCTGATTATTTTCTGACTGAGTTCGGCACTATTCAACTCTTACAACCCCAAAATCTCAAAATTTTATTTTTCGTCGAAACTTTGCACATAGGGGTAATTCGGTGTTCGATTACGAAAATGACATTCATTTTTGGCGATTGCGCCATCCGACGCCAGTTGGCGTCACCTTGTCACGACACATGTTTTCACCAAATTCGATGTAAACATCTGGGTAGGGGTAATCTAGTGTCCTGATTACGAATATGGCATTCATTTTTGACGCTAGCTCCTTTTGGCGCCTTATTCCGTTCGTCCGCGCCCTCCTAGTGATTAGATCGCGAGGGCTTAGCTCTAGGGGAAAGGAGGGCTACTTGTGAGTAACCCACCCACCCTGTTATCCCACACGCTTCATCTTCAACGCTCGGTACCTGATTTACCCATCCCGGGTCTCCCTATCCCCTAAGCTTAGTCCCAAGGCGCTATGTAAAGTTCAGAGAGCCCAGAAAAGCGGGAAGTGTGCGGTAAACAGCGCTAATTTCAAAAACGAATGTCATATTCGTAATCAGGACATCAAATAACCTCTATACAGAACTTCACACCGAATTCGGTGAAAGTGTCGTGACAAGGTTGCGCCATCGCCAAAAATGAGTGTCATTTTCGTACTCAGGGCACCGAATTACCCCTATAGGCAAAGTTTCGACGAAAAATAGAATTGAGCTTCTGGGGTTGTAGTGGTAGAATAGTGCCCTGAGTTCTGTGCCGACTTGTTGGGCAGGTCTAAATGTCGAGTTCATTGTCTTGAGGCTTTTTCCATGTTTTTTTTTCAAGTCGTCTGCCTTTTGTTTACACGTAACACCGCTCTTTGTAACGTTGGGATCAGTTCAGTTCTGTAGAAGTCGAACCGAAGAGGGGGATTGTATGTACCTACTGTACTTTGGATTGAGAACTTCTAACAATAATTAAGTGAAAAGTATGCGATCACGTAGAGTTTATATTGACTTGAAAGGTTTCCTCGGCAAGGAACATTTCTAACTACCTGGTGATTTTTCAATAAAATCGATGATTATCAAATAGGAGGAGAAGGCTCGTTTTGAGAAATTTGAGCACGATTGTTATCATAAAGTAGCTGACTAAGAGAAGGGTAGTGCCTGATCCTAGAGTCGCACCTGAACGTCATACTTTACGAATAGGTGTTTTTGTGACAACCCACAAGCAGCACTCACCTTAACACTTTAATGACAGTACGCTTTTCGCTTTTTTGGCGCTGTAGGACAGACGCTATTTGGCGAGCGCGGCTGAAACCCAAAAGAACTCAAGAAAAACCAGATAGACATATAATATGTACCTGACTCTTACGCGACCACATTGTTCTGGCTACTATTCAAGTATGATCTACAGGAAGAAGTTATAAGGATCTGGAATTGTGACTTGCAAGAGGAAAAATGAACACGAGGGTGGGGTTGGGGATAACACGCCGTGCCCGGTCTGCAAAGCGTTGTACTCCATGGTCTCACGCTGTCGTTACGCTACTGACTCACTTTATACTGATGTACTGGTTTCCTACAATGTGATGTCCCTTCTTATCATGTCACAGGCATGCTACTGATTCGTGCCTAAGTAACCCTCAGGTGTGAGTATTTGTTGAATTTTGTGAGTTAGCGCCGAATAGGCCAGCAATCAAAAAGAACATTAAAGGACATTGACCACAATCTGTCTATTTTTCAGTGTAATGATGCATGACCAGGGATGTGTCCTCAAGTGCAAAGTGATCTCTTACGTTGCACCCTTTTGAGAGAAAGCGCGGCTGCTTGCGTTACGAGCGCAAGTTCTCGGTACTTTTTTTGGGGTGGGCACTCGCACATGCGATAATTTTTTTTGGAGAGTGCAGAAAATTTTCATGCAAAATGGTCAGCATACCAGTCTACATTGTTTGTAGGTTCTTAGCAAAGTTGGTAGTATAGCTTGCTTGCTGTGCGTAAAGCAAAAGGTCAAAAGTACACTGCGTCCATAATTATACGTCCAACCTAAAAATTTCCCAAAATCTCAGAAATACAGATGTTTCGAAGAAAGTCTTCTATGTGACAATGTATCGCATATAAATACGCAGTTACCTATAAACATCAATTTTCTATTTGAGATCACAGGAATTTTTCCCAATAATTTTTGTGTACAAGGCCACTCAGCCAGCGTCCCAAAATTATACGTCCACCTCACGTTTATCAATTACTTTTCACTTCTGTTCCACGAAACTTTTTCATTGTGATAACACTTCACTTCTCAAGGGAATATCATAATAAAGACTGCTGTTGAATTTTGAGAAAGGGAAAAATGTCGCAAAAACTGTTGAACAACGCAATCGCACCAAATTTGGTCCAGATTCACGCCAAGCTTGAAAATTTTCTCAAGGGTTTCACATGATGTGGAGTTTAGAAGAGCTCCAAAAGTCTCTCATCACTTTTCGATGGAAACAAAGGCCGTGTCACAGAAAAAACATCCACTTTCCTCCAACGGTGCTCTGGCGTCGAATCTTCTTGAGAAATTTATGCCTCAACGAACTTCAGTTTCATGCATGTAAAGTAATCCCAAGATCCTTCTTGATCGGAAAATGTGAGAACGTCCAATTATGGCAAGGAATCGTGACGAAAACTGGGCTGATTTTTGCATGAGGGTGCAGCCGAGCCCACTGAAGTAAGGTTCGCCTCTCCCCGACATGTTTTGGCATTTGTTTGTTTCTCTTCTCACGTTTACCTTTCCCTTAATGGCTTTTTTCTCAGTGAAGCACTACCAAAAGAAAGAAAGTGTTGAAAAGAAAGACAGACAAACACTCATGCCTAGCAAGGAAAAGGGACCCTGCTCCAGTCGGCTCGGCTGCACCTTCATGCGAAAATCAGCCCAGTTTTCGTCATTATCCCTTACCATAAATGAACGTCTTTCACTTTCCGATCAAGAATGATCTTGGGATTCCTTTACATGCATGAAACAAAAGTCCGTTGAGGCATAAAGTTCCCAAGAAAATTCGATGACAGAGACCGTTGGAGGAAAGTGGATGTTTTTTTCTGACACGGCCTTTGTTTGAATCGAAAAGTGATGAGAGACTTTTGGAGCCCTTCTAAACTCCATATCATGTGAAACCCCAGAGAAAATTCGCAAGCTTGGCGTGAATCTGGACCAAATCTGGTGCGATTGCGTTGTTCAACAGTTTTTGCGACATTTTTCCCTTTCTCAAAATTCAACAGCAGTCTTTATTATGGTATTCCCTTGAGAAGTGAAGTGTTACCTCAATGAAAAAGTTTCGTGGAACAGAATTGAAAAGTAATTGATAAACGTGAGGTGGACGTATAATTGTGGGACGTTGGCTGAGTGGCCGTTTACACAAAAATTATTGAGAAAAATTCCTGTGATCTCAAATAGAAAATTGATGTTTATAGGTAACTGCGTATTTATATGCGATACATTGTCACATAGAAGACTTTCTTCGAAACATCTATACCTGTGAGATTTTAAGAAATTCTTAGGTGGACGTATAATTATGGGACGCAGTGTATTTAAGCCCGGGTTGGGAAAACGGTTCTCTTTCTTCGCGAACAGCAGTTTGCGGCAGATTAGGTTCGCAGCCGAAAAATGCAAAAATAGTTTTCAAACGTATACAGAACATTTCAAAAAATTGAGAGACGGAATCCAAATTCCTGGCCCTGCGGTCATGAGACTCACTCCAGTTCTCATATTAACTTCTTAGACCACCGATCATTTGATACGTATTGCGGGGTCACTCATTGCGCTTGTATTTTTTTCGAAAATCTCAATCCCTACCCCTTACGCCATCACCTCAATCTATAGCTATGGCTCACTGCAATTCGCATCACATTTTCCGGCCATGGAGGGAAGGCGGGAGGGAGGGGTAAGGGGTATATACAGTAGTGGCCAGAAATTTATGAACACACACGGTTTTTCATGATTTCCTCCTTTTAACAGTCACTGGACGCGTCATTCCAAATTGCAACAATATTAATACGGTTTTTATGACCAACGACCCGACAATTCACCTTCAGCATAAACTTTGGTTTCAGAAAATTTAATTCTTTCGGAATTAATGAATGAGGTGAACAGATCAGCTTTATCCTTTATTTGATAAATGTATAAACCCAACAATTCAGTCAGTAACAGTCACTCAACCATTATGCACCTCTAGCACGCCCCCGCTAACCTCTAACGTATGTAGATACATAATGGCATTTGAACGCGGGTCAACTAAATGAATACTCACCTCTTTAGTGGAGCCTCTCTCTGTAGTCCCGCTCTTACTGTGGCTTTCACATAGACATACGACTTTGTAGTCCTCCCCCCTAGTGGTTCTGTAAATTGTTTGTCTCAAGAGATGACCTGGCTGGTCTTTTTACAACACCCCATACTGTTCGACCACTTCACTGCATGAGAGGCCCGATGCTTTGAGTCCTGCTCTGCTGACAGACAAAGCCAGGTCGCGTGGCAGCCATGTCTAGGGATACATAACATCTTCTGGAATCTAAGTATACTACGTATTCCTTAGTTCTCAAAGTCTAAAAAGAGCGCTCGCTGGGAAGTGGGTGGAAGTAGAATGTCATAGACTAAACCTGAAACGAAGGTTGATACAGATTTCTAAGGTCATCTGAAATGACAAAAACGTATTAGTATTAGCGAGATGATTCGTGCGTCAGCCGTGGGACTTATCTTCCATAGGTTGACAAATTTCACTTGAGATTATCGCATGATGCCGCGGTGGGGTAGTATAGCGCGGGGCTCGAACAATGAAATAGTGCATTTGTCTGTTGACGTTGTCTCATTCACTAGTTCCCAACCTAATTTTGGTGAACACCGATAAAATTCAAAACGGCGCTCTCAAATAGGTTCTTCAGGTAATAGTCAAAAAGCGATCATGCAAGAGTTGCTCGGCTGTTCTGTAATACATTCTAATTCTAGAAAATTAGTTACACTCAAGTTGAATTGTTCCAGAACCCAAGATTTCTCCTTCGAAGATTTACTTGATTAATTTAAGCTCTTGTTTCCAGGTGAGAAGCGTCTTCGACAGGGCATGGTTGTCGGGCCTACTATGAACGCCTCAACAAAATTCAGCGACAATTACGACGTTAAGGAGGAATTGGGAAAGTGAGTCTTTATATCTGAAAGGTCGACATTTTTGTGCTATGATTCTAACTGGCTTTGAAATTTTGATTATTTTATCGCTCCTGAGTTTGCTTTCCTCTTGGACGTCTTCCTCTCACGTCACGGTGAAGCACCGCATGCTAGCTTTGAAGCTTCCCTTGTTTTCACGATTTCATTTTTCATGCTGTGAAGGCTACACAATTTTTCTGACACATTTTTCCTGTGAATTCACCCTTTCAGATGTTACATTAGCGCTGTTTTTGAAAGCGTTGTCACTTTGTGGCGCCGACTTGTTCAGTGGGACAGCCATTCACTTCCATTCAGTGCGACCTTTGCTGAAAGTGAAGGAGATGTCTCATCCCGTTTTATTATCCAAGTTTTTTTGCTACAATGTGGCCTGAAATATGTATGTTAAAGCTCTGTTCTTCTAATCCAATTCATCATCAGGGCAGTTATCTTTTCCTCTCAATGTATAGTTCGCCCAGTTGCCACGCTGAGCAGCGCCAATATCCGAAACACAGAGGAAACAGGACGGAATATAACTAGCGTACACGAGATATCAGTAGCTTTCAGTAGCAGAATGCGTCCGGTGAAACTCGTATCGTAGAATAGAATAGATTCTGCAACGAGTAATGAAAGGACAATCCAGATAGAAATGATTTACCTGATGAGGTGGCAATATGTCACCTCAGAAGAAGGCTTTAGTTTTCCAGTGTTTTCGGAGCTTCCTTCTCTTTTTCCCTAATAGTTAAATTCGCACCCCTACATTAATTTTCCAGAATAGAAACAAATCTAAAGCCACGGATCTTTATTAAAGGGATCCTTCCGGGAAAAATCGTGATCCTATCTTAGCCACAAACCGCTGGCTTGAGACTCATCATCTACGATGTGAATGAAATGAACAGAAAAAACCGCATTTGCTCTGATAAACAATTCAAACACCAGAACCAGAAAGACTGCTATGCCTGCAAATTCCCGCCGGACATCTGTCACAAATGCAAATAGCGGGAAAGCTTTCACTCGATTCACGGAGCGCTGTCACTAGAAACTTTTTTTGAACCTTTGACTTATTCTACAGCATCTCCCACTTCTACTGCCTCACATGCCATCGATTGTTTTGCCTCTATTCTCCAAAGTAGGACGCTTTGACCCGATTCTTTCACCGCGTCGCCTGCTACGTAGCCACCTCAAATCGCACTTCTTTCCATGTCCCGCTGATACACCTCGACTATCCGCAGAGTTTGGTTTTCGTAAGTTTTTTTCTCTTCGGAAACCGAATCTTCGTGCGTGAAACTTTGTGAGCTGTCTCTGGTGACCACAACTGACACATCCATGTTGGGAAAGAATGAAAGAATTTTCCGGGAAGGATTTTTTTGAATGCCAAGAAGTATTCCCTCCAGAGTAGAAAGGGGGGTATTCGAGTCACGCCAAGGGGTCTTCGTAGCGAGCTTACGGACTGTTCGTATGACGTGAACTTACGCACCTCTCATCGATTGGTTAGTTGGAAGGTCTAAACAGCTTGCTTTTTTATGCCTCTCTCTATGTGCTGTTAATCCAATTTGCTCTCGCATGTTCCGTTTCGTTTTGTGCATCGGTTATCAACTGCACATAACGTTGCTCTGTTTATTCTGCATTGTAGTGTTTTTACTCGCATGTTCCTCTCAATACAGAGTCTTTTTGAATAGACTGCTATCTCTGAGTCAATGCATAGGGGCGTGAAGGGTGTCATTTGCCGATCTCGGCAGTGATCTCTAAGCTGTGTTCGAAACCTCTTTTAAGGGGGAATGTCCGTGCCGAATGCATTACAGTGTTAGATATATCATGTGAAAACGCTTTTGTTTTATGTTCTTATGGACTCAGGAAGGGTGATAATATATAATAAGATTTTGTAGTTATGGAGATAGTGAAGGCTGGAAAGAGATAGATATTGTATGTGCGCCACAGTGATCCATCAATCTATTACGGTGATAAAAGCGAAATGTGAATATACTGTGATTGAGGGAAGGCTGCATTCAGTATGTTTGCCAGGATGCGCAAAGGCTTCAATAGCTGAGTGTCACAGTGGTTGAAAAGTTGTAGAGGTCTTTCGAACAGTAACCGCGTCATTATAAGCTGCGATGATGTGTCGTTGTTGATTAGATGAGTTTACTCTGTGCGTCGCTTCTGTACTTTTGTAGTGATGGCGCTTTATAAAGATGTTGTATAAAGGTGAGATGGATTGGAGTTGATATGCGCGACGAGGCCATTTGGTTGGATGGTGCACTGACTGTTACTGTAACTTGTTGAGTACCCTAGGTGTTCCACACTGTTTTCTCAGGAGCTTATATATCGCAAGTGATTCGAGCATAATTAATTCTATCGTATTAGCATTCCACAGCTGCAGCAAATGCAGTATTGCTGGTTTCTTCTCAGAAATTTATGCATGAGCCTACAAGGGTTTTTTTGCTTAATTCATATGTAACACAATGAAAGCAGGCTGTTCTAATAAACATTTTGTCAGAACTTTCGATGAAAGGCTACAATTTAGGTGCCCATAAAAGGTTCATAAAAAGATTTTGCCATAGAGACCTAATTCGTTTCTTATTTGCAGAGGTGCATTTTCTGTGGTTCGCAGATGCGTACACAAAGCGACAGCAGCTGAGTATGCTGCAAAAATCATTAATACGAAGAAACTTTCGGCCAGAGACTTTCAGAAACTGGAACGCGAAGCCAGAATATGTCGAAAGCTTCAGCATCCTAATATAGGTGAGTGAGGGAGAACAACGTTCTCTAAGTATTTCTTTCAATGACTAGAGACTTCTTCAAATTACTTTGCTTTCCTCTAAAGTATATATGTACCGCTACCTTAAATTTGGTGATTTCCGAAGTTTTAGAGATCAGATTTTCATATGCGGAGACAAGGAGATTTTGCATATGTCCGCGTTCTATGAGTGCTGCAACACTTTATGCTTTGTTAAGTAGAATACTGGGGGGGGGGGGGGGAATCGATCTCATTTCCAAGTCTGTAAATATTTCACCAGAACGTTCTCTCCAACACTTCGGAATCACTGTTATCACTTTCGGCCATGACGAGATCGGGCTGACAATGAGAGCAACTTTTTTTCCGAACGTGCGTCTTAATTTCGGTACCCACCCACGTCTAATGGAGAATGTGGTTTGTCTCGATGTCGGTGTAGCTTGCAAATGCAAACTATTAAAGTCAAAATAACACTATATAGCACGGTGGCTTACTGAGTTTTCAACCAGGAATAATTAATGGCACATAGTTAAGAAATGATCCAAATAACAAAATGTTCTATGTTTCAGTCCGTCTTCATGACAGTATTCAAGAAGAGTCGTTTCATTACCTCGTATTCGATTTGTGAGTTTTTTACATTACTATTTGTGTATTTACATTTATTTCTTATTCTTTGTTCACTTCTCCAGCGTACCTCATTCTGACTGAGTTAACTAAAAAAAGTTTGGGTAAACAAAGTCGTTTATTCGAGAGACAAAAGCGGTTGGAGGGGCTCTCCGTGACCTACCCCCCCCCCCCAAATGCTTCCAGGGATCAAGTTCAGATGGCCTCTTTTTGTTATGTGAGTATGTATACAAAGAATGGGGGTGGAGCGTGGTAGGTTTCAAAAGTTTTGGGAAGTATTGGTGGAGAAAGGTGTAGAAGTCGTACTTCGTCTGTCGTCTATCGTCCGTCACGGTTTCTGTCACAAATTCCCTATTTTCTGCAGAACCACCTGGGGAAACTGTTCAAGTCTGGGGTGGGTGGGCCATGTCTCAAAAAGTACAAACACACATCAACTAAGTGGATTC